ATAACAATTGTATTCGCACACATGAAATACGTTTCTCTATTATTGTTCATGATAATTACGTGCCCACTTAACATGGATACTCTCGATAAAATTTTACATCTTTATCATCATATCTGGTCTTGTTAGAAATCTCTAAATTCTGAATTAATTGTACATTCTTCAACTTTTGGCACAGTCGCTTAAAAATAGTGTGACCTTTAAATATACACGCTTCAATGTTTCCAGCTTCGCCACCTGTCTACAAAGTGATAATTTCCCCTTTCTATGGCCCGTCGCCAAAAGTCGGTGCAAGTGTCCCGGGACAGATTGTTATAAATTATTGCGGTCTCATTGGGTTGTTTATTATTCAGTACGGAGACTATGAAGCTTCGTCTCGTCTTTATTCATCGGCCTTTCGAGATATTAAGAAAATTCTTCGCTTCAATAATCTTTTCTTTATGTCGCCCTAGGATGGGGAGTTGCTAGGTCGGAGGCTTTTAGGTTATATCGTTTAATCTCTAAACGCTTTGTTATCAGTATTTGTAATGGTTATTTAATGCCTTTATCGTTGTTTGAGAGTAATTTCCTACACCAGGTTGACGTAATGGTTATTATTAAATGTTCTCCTTTATCTGTATTTAGTTTTCTCTAAGTTTTTAGGTTTGTAATATTACTCAGCCGTCTATGAATTAGGCCTTAACTGTTGTATCTTGCAGTAGAATTTAAATCCGTATTTTTCTGCGTTTGTGAAAATTGAATTGGTTTACTTTCGACCAAGTTCAAACAGCTATTGTAAAAAAGCGTAACCGACATGATGTAATAACTATTGGGCGTTAACTTGCTCCAGTACTGCCGTACTGGTAATATTCTTTTTGGTACTGTTATGTCGCTCGTGCTATTGTTTAGTAATTCTACTCGCATTCAGGGTTCCCAGCTGTGCGAATATGGTCGAAAGAGCATTTACAACTATTAAAATGGGCGCTCAAAGTGGTCCCACCAATTTTGAACGATGACTTTGGATTTATAACACGTGGTACCTAAAGATTTTACATAAGATATTAATAGCATACCAATACCGTTTATTTTAAACCTAGTTTCCTTATTAATAAACGTTTAGTAATTTTATCCTCATAACCTTTAAACGTACATTTAAACTCATACAAAATAATAATATTTGTATTATAATTACATATTAACGCGACTGAATAATTGAATTAAGTGTATGACACAAATATGATGATATAATTGAAGTGGCAACCTTAGACGGTTGGGTGAGAGAGCACGTACGACCTACAAAACATTCGACGAAGCACGACCGACATTTTGAAATAAGTTTTAATTATCACCATTGTTGTTAGCGCATGCTGCTTGCACTTGTGGAAACGTCAAGCTTTCAAGTAAAGAAGGAGACAGATATGGTAAAATAACGGAATCACCAACTGTTGCCTTTAACAGAAGGGGTATACTAATGTACTGATCATTATTGTTAGCAGTGCCGTGTGGTTCCCTTTTCTGCATGTTCATAATTTCAAAATTCTTATTTATGAGTAGTGAATTGATTGTCTTGTTTCCAAGCACTAAAGAGTCATCTACCACAATTTTAGTCACTGCTCCAAATTAAATTAGTGAGTTACAAGTTTTTGATATTGTGGTTCGGATAGTTCGTCATTCAATTTATTGTGTGTTAATATTTATTAAGTATTGTTTTCTACAATGTATTTATTGGTTATTTGATTCTACAACGGTCGATAGTTCCGTTTAGTACCTAATAGCGCGCTGTGGTAATACAGTCCAAATAGTCCTGTCCTATTCACCTTTGTAATACGATAACCTTGGCATATACTATAGAATATATAATAATGTAAAAGCATCGATTACGCAGTGAAAACCACTCGGCAAATTGATCGCTGAATTCAATTTAACAGTAGCAAACTTTGAAACAAACACTTTCCAAGCTTTCAAACTGTCGCGGAGAACCTAACGGGTAACCGGGGCTCCGGCTCGACGTGCAGGAGAAGGAACGGGGTGGTTTTTAGTCAGTAAGAGTCTGACACTCCCTTCCGCCTCACCCAGGCGGGAGCAGTCATTCGATGATTTTCCCCCCTTAAAAAAAAAAAAAAAAAAAAGCTTTCAAACTGCGAGGATTTATTGCTATCGCCATGGAGGCGAAAGGCATCTTGAAATGGAATAGCATCGGCCTTGACCAGAAATGTTTATCCTCTGATAAACACTTCGAAGAATTTTCTGTTACCAATAGACAGGTACTCTACTTAATCCAAGCTACACGTGGAAATATATCGACCAATCTCATGAAAACGCACATTCCTAACACTTCTCTAAGCCGTGGCATAACATTTTATTTAGTACAGACAACATAAGTAATTACCTAAAGTGTATGTAAACTACAAGGCAATTTTCACTCACAGGTTAAAGCGATAAGGCCTAAAATAGAACCGACCACAGATAACAAATACGTGATAATACCAAGAAAGTTATTTTAACATACACAATTTAATCCAGGTAATGGAAATTCTGTTTTGACATTGAATGGAAAAAAACACTATTTTACCGATGAAATTGTGTCAATTCCTATTGAAAAGGTCTAGGTCTATATTGAAATTCCAATATCGCCTGGAATTTAATATGTTCTCACATTGACAATTCGTCTAAACATAGAGACTGCTTCGACCTTTATTGGAATAACTCGTAGAACTGAATCCACAATGACTAGGTCGGTTTTGGACACAAAAGAGATTAATTAAACAATTAATCATTCTAAACCTAATGAAGAATTCCCCATTTAGACTGCTCTAACGAGTGTTCAGTAAAGCGAACTAGGTAATATTCTGAGAGAGACGTACCTGTCGTGGGCGGTAATTTGGAAACTGATCCAGCAGATGAAAGACGTATTTCATGTCTCAACATAATTTAAAGACGCCATAAATAAACATGAATAGCTTAACGTTAATGTGTTAATGTCTTACATTAATATTTACACATAGAAAGCGGTACAAGTAGTAATAAAGTTATCTAGAATGCACTGTCGTATCTTTAAGCTGAACATGTTACGGCATAATCAATACTAGTAAGTACAGATGCACTGAGACTGGCCGGGTCTCGGAAAATATTGTACAAAAACAGCTCTGAAATGCCAGTGCTCGCTCCATTACATTTGCAGCTGCTGTAAATGACACCACTATGGGGTGAACCTCGTACACGGTACACCGACCATTTACAGTTAGCACGAACAAGACTATAAGACATCTCCACAAAGGGATCGAATTGACACCCATGTTAATGTTTTGAAGAAAAGCTACAACATATTCTTGATTAATTTCCGTTAGCAGATGTTTTATGAATCAGATTTCATTATGAATTCACACAAGAGCTGTACTCCTGTACTTGTGCCAAGTCCGCTATCATTTTCATCTCAATTATTTAAACGATTGCGGAAGAGACTGTTGCACCGAACGCCGATGCGATGCGGATATTGCACAAAGGATACCGGTATCATAGTAACATATTTTACTATTACGAAAGTGTTATAACAGATGGTAAATAAGCAGACAAATATCTATTTACATAACATGTATTTTTAATTTAATGTCCTTCATATATCATTGTATTATTGCTAAATACTGGCGTCATAAGCAGACAAAATAACGTTTCACACGTGACCTAATGTGACCCATTCATTCATATCAAAAGTTTTGTGAAGGAACGTTTGGTTTCTGAGTACTTTGTGTGTGTGTTTGTATGGCACTTTGTATGCACTGTAATCTATCAGCGTGGGTGCTCTCCTACACTAGTGTATGTAGCCGGGATGTGACACTGGCGCCATCTGCGCAAACAATGATATTGACCTTCGTAGCTCAGCTATAGTTTGTCGCGAACTATCAATACTCTGCGAACGTTTTATTATAAACATTCGATGCTTTGATGATAATTGTAAACATTAAAATGTATTTACAATCGTTCTCAATTCTCTCTTCCGTACTGTTTGTGGCGTAAATCGATATCCTCTTTCTATTGACTTAACATTTGTCTACCCAATGCCAGAAAACTAACGAACAGCTGGGACTGTTTGTCATCTAACTGTATGCAAATACAAATTGGCGTTTTGGTTCTGCTCAGAATTAATACCTTTTAGTGTAGGCGGATAGAATATAACTAGGGCGCGTTAGGTACTTTATGACCTTTTCCGAAATGTCACACCCTATTATTATTGTCAATTATTATTGCCTAAGCATTTTGTCAATGCCTGGGAGGCCATCCAAAAATAAAAAAGCATCACAGTTGCTTGGACTCAGTTTTTTTCAACTGATACATAATACATTTTGATGGCAAAGCAATTACTCAACTGTTTTGTCAATAAGTTATTGCTAAAAATTGCAAATAAGTAGGTACTACAAAAACAAAAATCCGCTGGTTTGGATTAGCTAGAAAGGCATCATTCCCCTGTACGTTTTCCAGTAACTTGTCAAATAGACACGGTGTATCGTTCGTCGAGAGAATGGGCCTAGAGTTTGGTTGACAGTCGTCACGGTGTTCAGCGGTGTCGCTGCGTGCGTGGTGGCTAGATAGGCGCCGTTATCGCCGTCAAAATGGCGGCGCGTGGCGTCGGCCATTGCGCGGCGCGGTCGTTGACGCGGCCCGATCCGCTGCGTGGCGCGCGGATATCGATCGTTCCTTTCAGGTACCAGCGCCCCGACGTACAGCGACATCTAGTGGCACTGAGCGGAAAGTTTGAGTTGGTTGAATGATTACAGATGGCGCTGTAATGAAAATTATGTTATGTATAATAATGCTAAAAGTAACTAATTCATTTAGTTTTTAATTATTATAAAATTAATATTATTAATTGTGCATACAAATTTATTTTTATTTTCCAAAAAATACTGATATTTTTCTAGAAGAATTTTAATCAAGAGACCAGCCTTTTGTGAAATTAGTATTCTTGTTCCAAGACTTCAATAATTGAATTCTATAATAAATTAATTTTATTTCTCCTTTGTCTGCAGTGTAAAGACTTCGAGAAGGTGGGAGCGACGCTGGCGACGACACCATGTGATGTGGTGGAGGAGGCAGACATCACCTTCTCATGTGTCGCAGACCCTCAGGCAGCTAAAGAGGTAACAACAAATTCCATGCAGAGAATACATAAAAATATAATGAGATTTTTACATACATTCTTATAGAAACTAGTACCTATAAGTACCTAACTGATAGGCAATTATGTTTTATGGGGTCCTCCTGTATCCTTTTGAATAGGCAACTGGACTAGTTTCAAGCTACGTTAGGGGCTTATAATGATTTGCAATCAATTTCGTACATATCTATAAAATAGCTACTCCAAAAAAAATACATTTGAATATTTGAATTGTGGAAAAATATTTCAGAAATCATTTATGATGTGGCTTTATTAACGATACGTATACGTTCAAGGATAAAAATAGACTACAAGTTATTTCTTACACCCTAACAGAAAAATCATTCTATATGTATTAAAAGCTGATTTCACGGGTAGGTGTGTTTGCACAAAGGTCGGCTCGGAGTCAGGGCCGCGGCGACCTTTACTGGGAATCTTTAAGGGTCAGGGAGGGATGGTCGCGGACTATCGAGCCGGAAGATATTGTACTAATGCGTATATAAAAACCGGGTTCCTGTCAACCTGGTCGACTGGTAGAAAATGGCTTAACGCATTAAGTTCACCTTTCACTGTAAATTGTGTTGAAGTGTGAAGTAAATAAATATAACTGGATGATTTGCATATACACCGTTGTCTAGTTTTATGCGACTATTTGTAGATTAAAGTACGTGATTTCTTTAAATTCGTATTTTACTAGTTACATCATACATTTCTCGGATTTACTGTCGTTTGTGGACTATATACACATCTACAACTAGATGTAATCTAGATGTTAACTAAACAAATGTCTAATTTCACATTTTTCTACTTACTGTAATATAATATTTAATGTTCTCTTTACAATTAATCCAGATGGTGTTCGGTAACTGTGGCGTACTGCACTGTCCGTCCCTGGAGTCTAAAGGCTACGTGGAGATGACGTCGATAGACTCCGACACGTCACACGACATCGTCGAGGCTATCAGCGGGAAGGGAGGCCGATATTTAGAAGCACAGGTAAATACATAACAATATAGACAGACCTTCAATGACTTGGCGACAGTTTCGCTCATGATTTTGATAAGAACTAAAAAATGATATTAAATACTATAGTAACGTTTATCATACAAAAATAAAAATGAAATACAACTAACAAATTATTTTGAAAAATAATAATAAATAAAAGAAAAAAACTCTTTTTAGAACTAAGCTAGTAAAGCATTGGTAACAAAACAATACGTAATATGTCTAACAACTTCAATTTTTGTGATACACGCTTTGGTAGCTTCAAGTTCATCGAGTTCTGAAACTTGTTTAAAATATTTCTCAATTGTACCACCTGAATGTTCATTTCCTTTAATTTTGTTAGATTTTTAGTAATGAATTTTAAAATGAATTAACAATGTGGGTACATTGTTAATATATTTTAGTAGAAAAAATTTAAATGTACCGCCGCATACTCATACCTACTACCTACCTTAAGTAAATCGTATTATTTTCATGAGAAATAAATTCTTAAATCAGAACTCTATTCAAAATGTGTATGAAATATATCTCTAGTGACACGTAAAAAGGTTATTAATCAGGCTGATCTGAACTAACTGCTCTACAATTCGGAAGGAAAACAAACAGAATAAAATAGATTTTTTTTAAATGACTGATATTGTTCTAGCCGGGTTTTGTTTATTATGGCATAAGCCGGTAAACGAGCAGACGGATCACCTGATGGTAAGCAATCGGCGTCGCCCATGGACACCCGGAACACCAGAGGCGCTTCAATTCAATTGATTAAAACTTTGCAGGGTTATAATATTGTGGGTGGTTTTTATTTTGTATTGTTAAATAGACAAAAATGCGATAAATTAACTGTCCAACGCATTGCACTTCACATTAAATATAGACGAAGCTTGTTCGATGTGGTTTCATTAAGTTTTACTGCGGTAATAAAGGTTTTATTGTTACGTTTAATTGAATCTTTCAGTCGCATGACCTTTCCACTTTATTCCGTCGAGCTGTCTAGCTCACATGGACGATAATTAAAATAGTAACAAGTTCGCTACGAGAATGAAATGCATTAAAACTTAATTTAAAGTTGCTTAGTATTTAAGAGTAAAATAATACTATTAATATAGTGCAGAACAGTATAAGTTTGCATAAAAGTCTCGGAAAATTATTAGAAGTTTTGATTGTATGCTTGTAATTGCACAATATCTAGCAATAAAAATATAAATTCCAAATTACTGTGTAAGAAAAGAATGATGCTCAATTTTATGCTATCGATATACAAGTTCTCTAACGTCTTAAATGTTATATTTTACTTGATCAGGTTGGATCAAAGAGTTAAAATAAACACAACATCACGTTTTTTTATCCCCGAAGGGGTAGGCGTAATGACGCGTAGTGAAGATCGCGGCACTTAATGCCACTGTACAATGCAACACCCACTTTTCTTGGAGGTTAGCCTATTGCCATATACCAGGCACAATTCGAGACTCCGTGCAAATACAGAGATTTTTTAAAAAAAAACCCAGTGATACTTTGCCCGACTGGGAATCGAACCCAAGACCCCTTGCACTTGCGACCATTCCGTCAACGAGCCAGTCAGTGAAAAGTTAAATAAATGTAATTTAATTAAATAAAATATTTCCTTTTCTATTCCAGATCCAAGGCTCAAAGACGCAAGCAGAGGAAGGCACGCTGATCATCCTGGCAGCGGGCGACCGGTCGCTGTTCGACGACTGCCAGTCGTGCTTCAAGGCGATGAGCAAGAACTCCTTTTACCTTGGTAGTAGTCAGCTGCTCCGGTTGCAGGCGCGAGGAACCTTGGACGTTGACATTTATGTTTCTTTTCTAGCCCGCTATGTTTGCACCGTATACTTTAATTATGATTAACGGCCGCCATGCCTAGAATTTTTATAGGTTTAAGGTTTTACGAGGAATAGCTTTTTTTTCTGATGGCATTTTTGAAGTAGTTGGTTTCGGTGACAGTTCGAGTATCGGTAATTTACATCATTAGCTATCCGAGCTGTCTGCTCTCTACCGTAAAAAGGTGATTCATAGCAGACGCTTTATCAGTAGAAACAGCTATTCATACAATAAAATCCGAATCATGAGATAATATAATACTATGAAACCAATTCAATGTTCCTTAAATTCTAATCACTAGTAAGTCTTAAGTTCATAAAGCAGTGGTCGTATAGAAGTAGTTGCAAGCGTGCTTTTTGTTTTACTTATTTGATTTTTTGCACACAGTGAGCATCGCGGGTTCGTTGATTTCTTTTTAGTTTTTTCATTATTTTTTGTTTAAATTTATTGTAGTCCTCTTTTTTATTGTTTTAACTGTCAACGTCTTACCCGAGCGTTTTTAGTTATAAGTTATATCATGAATTCATATTACACTACATTTCATATTATTCATTCATCATTTAGACCCAGGGTGAAGGGAAAATGCCATTTCATAAGAAATATCATATCATCTTCTCATTATTAATAGCAGAGTGTCATTAGAATCATTATTAGATATATTTTTTTAAATTTCTAATTAACATTTTTACAGCAATATTGAAAGCTATAAATAACAGTTTTAGTCATCTCTGGTGGAATGAAGTTTGGATTCGACTCTGATGAACTTTTCATGAAATATACTAAAAAAATATTATTTTCAATTACAAATTACAACTACAACACGAACACTTCTTAAGCAAATAAGTACAAGTGATATATGACAGTGGAGTTTAACATTTAATTTGTTTCCAGGCGATATCGGCAACGCGTCGAAGATGAACTCCGTGCTGCAAGTAGTGGGCGGCGTGTCGCTGGCGGCGCTGGCCGAGGGCCTGGCGCTGGCCGACCGCGCCGGCCTCAACCAGGCCGACCTCCTCGACGTACTCGCACTCACGCCGCTCGCCTCGCCACACCTCATACTCAAGGGACGAGGTATGGAACTACTCTATTTGAACGATTCTTATTACCACTTCTTATAATAACCACTCTTTATTGAACTGTCTATGGACAACTCTTTACTTAATTATTTATTGACTGGGAAAATGCTAACAATTAGTACATTATCCTCTTCTAAGCTCTTTTCTCTCATTCCTCTTCGCTCTCTCAATGAGTATCCTTTATAGCATATTTTTAAAAAAATTAGACACATAGGAGATATCAAATTAATCACTCAAATCTACCTAGCATTATGTCAGTCAATTATCCAGTACTGTGTTACGTCTTGGGGTGGCGCATCAAAAACGATTATACTCCCTCTAGAACGTGCTCAGAGAGCCATCCTGAAAGTTGCATTTTCCCATCCCTTTCTCTTTCCTACATCGATGCTATATAGATCCTGCAAAGTTTTAACTGTTCGCCAAATCTATGTTGTACAACTAATACTCAAACAACACTCACTACTCAGCTTCGATATTAACAATCTTACTAACAAAAGACGGAATGATATAGTTTGCACTTCAACCTCAGTGTCAAAACATGCTTTCATAAAAAGATTCTTTATCTTTCTTGGCCCATTTTTATACAATAGAATAAATAGAGAATTAAATATTTATAGCCTCAATCACTTTCACTGTAAAAACCTATTACATAATTATGTACACACCTTAACATACGATCAAACCGAGGAATTACTTGAAGTAAGCAAATAATTTTATTATAGTTGACTTAGTTATATTTGCTTACGTTTGTTTATGAAACTGTACACGCGCACCTGTTATACTTAGATACCAACTTAATTTAATTTAGACATAAAATATTTAGTTTTATAAGCAATGTTATTGTATTTTAAATATTTCAGCACATTTTTAACCTGAAACACAGGCTTGGGCCTAGTTCAGGTTTTACATATAAATTTTAGACTTTTTTTTTTTAGATAGTAAGATTTATTTTGTAATCTGGCTTTTTACACCAAATAAACATTTTTATTTTTTATTTTATTTTTATCCTAAACTTGCCATTCTGACTTGTTTAATTTAATGGAATGATCAAATTATTGGGCCTGCCTACTTTTTTGTGGTTCCAATATAATCAATTGAACTTTATTATGTCGGTATTTTTAAATTATTAATTCTGACTAAGGGAATTGTAATTAATTACAAGTGTATTACAAAGTTATACAAATTAACAAATAATACAAACTAACCAAACTAATTTCCAATTCCAGCGATGATAGAATCGTCGTACTCGACCCACCAGCCCCTGATGCACATGCAGAAGGACCTGAAGCTGGCGCTGGGGCTGGGCGACACGCTGGAGCAGTCGCTGCCGCTGACGGCCACCACCAACGAGATCTTCAAGCACGCCAAGCGGCTCGGGTACGCCAACCACGACGTCGCCGCCGTCTACATCCGCGCGCGCTTCTGATCGCCCGACATCACGGGGCCTTGCACTCTGTACGCACCGACACTACCCACGACCGAGCCACGCAGTCAATGACTTCCATTCTTCTAATATTTGTGATCTAAGCCACTTTTGCAGAATACGTAAAGCTGACAAGTCACTACGACTAGCTCAGCAATGGAACTAGAAGGGCCTTTGTCCAGCTATGGGATAACAAACAAATTGTGTCTGTTTTCTAGACACAATTTACACAACGTTATGTGAGTTAGCATATAACATATATTAGTGTCATGTATTCTGTAAAAGTAGCTTCAAAATACTTGTGTATTCTTAGGTCGTCGAATCATTTAAAATAATGATTAATTTGTTTTCTGTACTCAGTTTTAAAAGATGAATTGATTTACCTGATGGTATTGATGATTAGTGATTTGTGCATTTGAATCGAGGAAAATCACAGGGTACGGTTATTGAATGTTTTACTTCATTATGTTTTAAAATAAACGCTTTCTTTATTTATTATATAAATTAGTCTCATAATCTCGGCTCTGACGTTGCAATCAAAATAAATATTTTTATTAATAAATTGCTTTGTGAATAGAAAATCGAATGACCAATCTCTTCCGCTAATCGATGTTTATACTTTTATGGAAGAACTCTCATATTGATCGCAAGAATTCTCAATTGTATCTTTCTGTGTGCTGTGTACTGTACGATGGTGTAGAAGTGAGAATCGTGTGATGTAGTGTACCCACAACTGATGTGTAGAACTTAATGCGTTGTTTTACAACGTGGGTTATATATATAAGTGTTTTATCACAGGGTGGGCGAGGATAGCTCTCTCACTCACAAACTGACTGACTGTATACTATACTCATCATCTAGACCTAATCCTGAGTTACTTGTGCTCAGCGCAATGTGACTTCTTCCACTCTCTCTTTAGCCAGAATAATTTCCTTTACTTGACTACACCACACAATAGTCAAGAAACTATCCAATACATGATGAGTGCTACTGTGACCTGACAGAGCTATAGTCTCCACTCTGTGCTACTTACAACTACATGCAAATATTTTAATCAGATTATATTAATAATAGAAATAATGAGAACAAGTAACTGCACAATGTTGCAATCACATATTTATTGTGTTTTAGAGTAACAAACATATGTACGACGATTATTGTATTAGCAAGTTATAAGATTATGGATACATTAGCCGTTCAGAAATAGATGTTGTGAAACCTCAGGATAATTTGATGTTCGTAGTAGTGAGTAGTGACCTCTCGCTGTGACAGAGCCGCAAGCGTCCCGCGTAGCAACATTCAATTAACTTTATTGTGGAAATGTTAATATAAGACAATTTATTAGTTAAGTCACAATGCAACCTCTGTTTATTTTAATAAACGGTTTACATTAATACTTTCTCATTTTATTGTAGACTTGAAATAAATCAATCTATGATTGATTATAAAGTATTTTATGATTGGGAGTTTTTCCACTATGGAGTGCCCTTCTTTTTATATCAAAATTTATAAAATATAAAGAATAAGAGAGTATGCATTAAATGGATGTTTCTTTTATTGTGTAGTAAGTTAAATTTTATTGATAAACTCGTGAAAATCCTTTCTCTATCGTCTTGGTTTTAGTTTAAGATTACAAATTGACGTAAATGAGTTTTAGAATCATTCGAGCATTTTGTGCGCAGTGTATGTGTTGGGAGGTTTATGTTGATATGTTCCAAGTGGTGCATGTTGCGCTATGTTACGTATTTCTCAGATTATTGTCATCATATGATAAGCTACAATAAACTATGATTAATAAATAAATGATATTTATTTTAATTTAGACATGCTCCTTGCGTTCATTTCATGTCTTGTACTCTGATTCACAACATATCAACAGCCTGTATGTGCCTATTGCTGCGCGAAGCCTCGCACAGGAGAAGGTTTGAGCATTAATTACCACGCTTGGCCATTGTGGGTCAGCACTCTGATTATGTTTTCGTAATCATCACCCGGTTCCATCCACTGCTGAAGTCCTTCCCATAATTGATATAATGAATGATTGATGATTGGTTTGACTTCTCTACGACTGTCGAAAAAGATCGCGTAAGACCCAATATAGCTCCCTGCGGCACACCTTATGTAAAGTACAACGGACTTATTGCTAGAACACCGAATCTGAAATCACAAGAAGCACAATTAGGTTGAAATCACGTTGAAATGAAATCGAAAATATTAATATTCGATTTTTTTAATCATTCGTTAAAAGCTCTAGAAACGGTGTAGGTAGAGTAATTTACTTTACATAAAATGGTTGTAATTCAATGCAAATTGTCGCCTCCCCTGCTGACATGGATTCACACTCGAAGCGACATGTTAACCTTCAGGCGGTTACATGCGGCCGACGTTTAGCGACGATATCGAATATGGGAAATCTATTTTCACTTCTATAATCTTATTGTTGAAGTGTGCTCCAAAAATACTTTGGATAATAACAATGCAATGTTCTGAATGGTTACGTATCATATCACGACGAATGGTCGCAAAAGCGGTATGGACTGGGATCGTCGATAACCCACGTTATTGATTAGATGCTGTTACGGTAATCTTGTTTGTTGTGGATACCCTCGCATCCTGATGAGACACAGTTAGAGTAAAATTTTACTGACGACCTGATAGTATGCGGTTACCCTTAAACAACAAATCGAACGAGTCGTACATTATTTTGATCGATGATGACCTTCAATATTGTTCAGCTTGCAGATACGATTTTACGACAAAGTGTAAGGCTAAAAATATCGCGATCTCATGATTTAAGTCCGCTGATCACGCCACCCGCGGTACGGAGCGCAAGCATAAAAATTGCTAAACGTCGCTAAGTATAGGGGATGTCAACTTGAGGTTGATTTTACAAGAGTAGATTTTTTTGTTTACTTTGGACCTTTGGACGCTTAGCTCATCAAAAGATTTGACTTGAAGAAAGATAGACGGGACAAAATCACCAAGGCGATCTAACACGATTATTACGCCAGATTCAAAATCAAAGATTCCCATAGGAGTGTCATGTTTCAGCAGAAATGCGTCGGCTGGATCGGAGTCAGTGAATCAACACATCCTTACAGAATACCGCCGTGACAACAACTCAGTAACTCAGGTATGTATTTGAGACATGGTTTAGTGGACAGTAGTGGTATGGAAACGCGGGCGCCTCGCTGACTAGACGGTTAAATACCGAGCCCTGCTAACTGCACTTATGGCATGCGCCCATTGTACCCGTACACGTCACTTGACTTGACCAGTATTATAATTTAATTTCTATTCATTCATTGACGTCATTATTGGTCACTACACAGGATGCTTATGAATACCTGGCATATCTAAGTATTGTGTTTAGAAGATAGATTTGATTGCATAGGAATGGAACTATTAGATATTGTGTAGAAATTGGAATAACTTTGCCCACGGTATTTATGTATAGTGCACTAAAATAGAACTGTTACATCGTCAAATTAAGAAGTCATCATGGTCCTTACTAAATAGAGTAACTAGTGTATTAGTGACACGAAGCCGCGGAGAACCTAACGGGTTACCGGGGCTCCGAAGTGCAGGAGTAGAAACGGGGTGGTTTTTAGTCCGTAAGAGTCTGACACTAATTTGATGATTTTCCCCCCATAAAAAAGTGTATTAGTGACTAACCGCTTGAATAGTAATCGGAGCTACAAACGTTCCGATTATTATGGATGGAAACTTTATTCGTCCATAACATGAAATATTGCTAAAGCGTTTTAAATTATTTCCCACATGAGAACCAAAGTTTTAATAACTTTAATGTTTATTTAATGTTCCACAAAGCCACACAGAGTAAAAGTTTCTCTGAATCAATGTCAAACCGTTGGCGACCCCATAAAAAGTCGAGCTCGACATGCAAAACCGCAATAACTCTAACCTTATTATGAAAGAAACTTATAAAGAAAAATTACAAGCTCATGTTCAGTTGATTACAAAACCTACGACACAGGAGAGCTAAAGACAAAACTTTTCGCAATAAACACTGTTTCATCAAACCTCTTTTCTAAAAACTTTTAGAATAAAAATAAGTACTATTTGTTGGTCAGTGTCAGTGTCATTTTTTACGTATCAACAGTTTGTGTTTATTTATCGAAAAATTTCAAGTTAAAAGTGAAATTAAAGAGTGAATCATGTCGTTTCTAACAGAATATTTCGACGAGTACCGTCAGCATCCGATAAAGAAAACTAAAATGTAAGTTTTTATAATTAAAAACATTTAATTTTATTCCAATTAATACGTAAACAACGCGCGTTAAGATTATTCCTTAGATAGATTTCCCTCTTCAGTATATACCTATTCTATGTGTGGGTAATAGTCACGTTATAATTTTTTTTTCTTCTTCGAAACCAATTATTTCGAAAATACCCAATTTTGCTGGTCATTAAATTCGCAGGTGCCGTCCAGAGCTCAGGTGGGCAAAGTTAGAGGGAAAATGGCTGGATCCAAAAGTTGGCACGCAGGACGTAAGTTTATTTTGCTACCTCATCTTAAACACTATTGCTAATATAATCTAGCTTTTAAAATCAATTGTATTCCAAGAAAATATCTGGAAAACACGTAACTACTGGATCTACAAATTCTCGTTTAACGTCGAAGTTTTTTGTGATTGTCACAGAAAGAATGGTCGGATGAGGAGATTGAGGCGTTCATCAAGGAGACGATGAAGAGCATCCGAGGACAGTCCACCTACTACAACTCATACTGTGCACACTTGTCAGAAGGTAACAGTATCAACACGGCTCATAAGCATAGTTTCCTAGTTTTGATACGTAACTAAAAAGCAAGGTACAAAACTGATTGCTAAATCGGCACTAAAGCGAAACTTTTCGAAAAGCAGAAGCGAAACATTTCAGGTTCATATCCAGAAAGGGTAAATAAACTAAAGGCGCTTCTATTCAATTTATATTAGGTATACCGATTTTACCGTTGACCCAATGGCAGTAACCTAAACAAACAAATGATTTTTCACTCTAGATTTTAAAGACCGTCCCTTCGAACCGCGCGTGAAGAAGTTAAGACCATGTTCTGAGTTATTTCAAAAGAAAGAAGAGGAGGTGGAAGTGACAGAACCGCTCACGAAGCTCGCCATGAAGGACACTGAGCTGATGAAGGGAGCCAAGGAGTTGTATGAGCTGGACCTGGACCGGCCCACGCTACAGCCACTGCCCACACACTTGAGAAGTTAGTCAATTATATACCACTAGCTTTTACCCGCGGCTTCGCTCGCGTCACAAAAGGATAAAAAATAGCCTATGTGACATATATCAATAGACACACAACGCCATCATACCAATACTTTTGTTTTCCCTCGGGAATATCAAATTTTTCCGGGATAAAAAGTACCCGATTATTTAATCCAGACTTCTAACTTTACCTCTGCAAAATTTCAAAGCAATCGGTTCAGTAGTTACGTCGTGAAAGCGGAACAAACAAAAAAACTCACTTTCCGATTTATAATATAAGTAAGGAGTAAGGAAGTAAGGATCATCAGAAAAAAGGGGGAGGCATTTGTTCAGCAGTAAACATATTCAGGCTAATGATGAATAGATGATGCCATCTTTGATTATCACCATCATCTTTGTCATTGGCGGGAGGACATGACACTGCTGAGCAAAAGTGACCCTCTTTGGAGCAATTGCGATAATCTTCTTAGGTACTTAGCAAGCGACTTGGGAATCGCTTTTAGGTCACCGAAATGTATCTAGTTTCAGTTGAACTTGGCATTGTAACTTCCAATTTTGCAGCATTGCCTTTGGCATTGTCTTAATAGAGTTTGTAATAAGTAATAACTTTCAATGTCTGGTCTGACGTTGGTTGAAATCGTTATAAAGACCGCATAGACTCTGCAACTGAAATCATTCTTAGCTTTACTTTTGTAATGTTTTCATTAGAGTCGTCTTATTTATACGTATCAACAAGGTACTTAATAGATTTTACTTATAAATGATTAACCTATTCTCGTCCAGTCGTGTAATTTGGTATTTCGAGTAATAAACGGTTCATATAAAAGAAAATATGGCTCATGTTACCTGTATTTGATAGATGCTTAAATTGCATATGAGATGTTAGATAAATATCCAGCGAATACTCGTGTACATGGTACATGATCTGTTTCGAATGATTATAGTAATGAAATGTTTTGTTTTGCCAACGGATGGACCTCTGACGCAAGTGAGTATATAATTGTTATCAACAAACAAAAGTGCATGCGCCAATATTTTTGTTTAGTTTAATACAACACGCGGCTAATTCCGGCACACTTCCTTTTGCAATGTTTGTTTAACTAATTATTTAATGTTTTCATTTAGTTAACGATATTCTGTTGCTGTTCACAAGACTCGCTTCCCTCGCGTGGATTATTTAGATCATATTGTAGCGTGTTGAATGTAAACTTAGTAATACTTTTTTTTATATTAACTATCGTGAGACATACTAAATTAACTAATATCTCGACTGCCTCGTTGGCCGAGTGGTCGCAAGTGCGACTGCCGGGCAAGGGGTCTCGGGTTCGATCCCCGGGTCGGGCAAAGTATTACTGGGTTTTTAAAAAATCTCAGTAGTAGCACGGAGTCTGGAATTGTGCCTGGTATATGGCAATAGGCTCACCCCCTATTACATGGGACTCTAACATAAATAGTGAAAAGTGGGTGTTACATTGTACAGTGGCATAATGTGCACCTCTGCCTACCCCTTCGGGGATAAAAGGCGTGAGAGCTTTTCTCAAAAAGCTCTACTAGTTTCGAACCACAGAGGGGTTCTTCTTCATACGTGCGCAGTCGCGGTGATGTCGCGCAGCTTACTGACTAGTAGTACCCCTCTGTGGTTCGAAACTAGTAGAGCTTTTCTCAGTATATTCAAGTGAATAACCTGCGATTTTTAGTTAACTTAGTAATATTTGTTATTTGTTGGAATTAAGAAGATTACACAGTGGTTTTTACCTTATTCTAAGTGTTAGTTTACGTAGAACTCGTTTGTCTGTTCGCTTAAAGATTGTTTCATGTCCTTGACATGCATGTGACAAAACTTGGTATCATAAATTTACTTAGCTGCGCTGACGACAATTCGGGATTACGACAGTTGAACGTTGTCGTGACGGTACGCTTACTTCAGTCATCCCAAAACGCTGCAATTCCTGTACCTGGGATCTACTGTAGATACAAAGTCAAAGTCAAGTCATTTATTTAGATTAAACCACAGTTTATTTATTTATTTATTTATTTATTTATCGGTTTATGCACAACACACAGACAGTACACAGGAGAACACATATATAAATATTTTGGAGGTACATAGGTACTACATATTCCCGAAGGAATCTCTTCCTGCAGTCCTTCGACAGGAAAAACGGAAAAAACAGAGACACTGTGCGTAACATGACATGAAATGTATTAAATAAATAGATCACAATAAAATACATAAACCTATACATACATACGATAGATACACATCAAATAATACACATATTAGAGTATATTACAAATAAACATACAAATATATATATATATATATATATATATATATATATCAAATTAGTGTCATATATATATATATATATATATATATATGACACTAATTTGAACAAGATGAGGAAAGGTAGTGCTCCCTTACGAGTCTTTTAAAGATTGGGATGGATTTAGAATCACGGTTTGGTCAGTCAGTTTGGTACTTTTGAAACGTCAACAAATACAAAATAAATAATAGTCTGTCAGTCAGTCCGTCAGTGAAACTTGGTGAAGCTAGGTGCTTATTCCAAAATGTAGATTCGAATAGAGAAGAACAAACAAGAAACTCCATCCGTCCAAACTACAACCATTAAGACATATATAGGATGCAGGTATCTATAGTACAAGTGATCAGTAGTCGGTCAGGTACTCAGGTATCAACGATCACATCAATATTAACACGAGTGTAACGGTCCCTTTGTTCGCACCCTGTATTGTTTTGTCGCGCGGCGGCCATATTGTGTTGTCGTGTCAACATGTTGCTTGTTATTGGGTAATGTCACGCAACATCCAAGTTCATATACCGTTACATAATATAATTGAATTTTTTTTAAATAACTCACTGTTCGAAAGAGGATATTTGTATAATCTATACTCTCTCTATTTCTTGTATTTGAGGTTTAAGCTTTTCCTCAAGAGGTTCCCAATAACGAGGTCAGAGTCACATGTTCAGCTCTTCATATCCAACCACTGGTAGATACTGCAAAGTCTAAAATTATAATATTAATATAATTTGAACAATCTCAAATTATAGTTGAACAATCTCAAATTATAGTTAGTAGTAGTAAAAATAATGAAATATAAAAGTTTCTTTGCAAATCAGATTATGGTGCATATAAAATGTGATTGGAGCCTTCTTTTAGGCAAGATATGTTAGGAGACTCCGAATGCGCACTACCTTTCTTTTCCATCTTGGTAAAGATCTCTCAGTCGTGTCACAAATCACAAAATAATGAGTTTCAATTTTCACAGTTTACGGCTACGTCAGACCACATCTCTGGCACACGGGCATCAGTGACTACCAGGCAGGCATAGCTCGCCTGGCGTATGAGATGATCCGGGACGACCGAATCCCTCCCTACCACGCCCACAATGGTTGTAGACCAAGATGGGGCATCCCGCCAGAAGGGGAGAGACAACCAGAGCTTGATGGAGCACCCTTCACTGGAGAAAGGCTGTATTAACCCAGAAATATTCTAGTTTTAAGAACAGTATTGCTATAAGAATGGAATATTTTGTTAGAAACAAGTCCAATCTGAAAGTTTAAATTTGATAAGCCATTTATTTTGTTTCTGGATGATAGAAAATATTTTTTGAAGTTGGTTTTGTGGTACTACTGACATTCGTTATTGTGTACATACAAATTGTAAGGATACTAACATTTGGAAGTTTTAATGTTTCGACCTGTACCTATTCATCATTAAATTATGTAAAACTCATAGTTCTTTATTTTAATCTTTTCTAAACTACACACACCTGTTACACCTATTTAAACTGTCAAACACCAAGCGGTCACCGGTGACCGCGACCTATTGTTCTTTAATTGTGTCTATAAAACCGGTACTCGACGAGTTAATACTTAATGCATAAAGAGAATGCAGGCACTTGTTACTTGTGAGGTAACAGTTTATTGTGATGTTACCTTTAAATGCGTAGGCGCATGGCTACGGATCGTAGAACTATCGTAGCACCTTGCTACGCAACTCGATCGTGGCGTCGCGTCGCGCCGGAGCTTAGAGATTGCAAAATGCTTTATGTATAAATCGTAGCAATTTGCGTTCCATAGTCTCGACCTATGGGAGACAGGCGTGAGGTTATGTATGTATATGTTCTTGATGGGAGACTTGAGTGTCAAGGTTTAAACAAAACTCTTTGTTATAGACACACCCAATAAATAAAAGCTATTTAAAGATTGTCCATGCCATCACAACAGCACAACGGATGCGAGTGAAGATTTGTTCTCTCCAGCCGTAATTAATTCACTTGATACTCTTAAACAAACAGCTTTTATATGCTTGTACTAAAACATTTGCTGAGCGACGCTCATTATCACGCAGTCACACACAAATATCAAAACGTTTTACTAGCTTTCTTTGATATTTCACATCTTTTTAGTATTTTTTTATAAACTTTGCTGACGAACTGACATTTACGATTGCTGAGTGAGACATCAAACGATCACTTGTAGTCTTGTACGGTCTTTAAAATCTTGCAAAATTAAGAAGAAAAGGTACTTATGTATTGGAGAATCAATCACTCGTCTCACAATAAACAGAAAGTTACGACTTTGAGGAAGAGGATATCGTTGAAATGTACAATGTGTTGTTTGTTTGGGAATCAGGAAATATCTGACAAAGGGACGCACGTGTTTCTTGTTTTGCACTGTTTGTCTGAGTCCGGGAGCTGGTGATAAAGATTCGTTGCGATGTTTATTTTATGCTGACTTATAATGTATGTAAAAGTCATGCCAAGTAACCTAGCTAAGTAAATTCAAAGTTGTATATGGTCAGGTTAACTTTAGTTTAAACTTTAGCATCTATCATCATCATCAACAGCCTGTAAATGCCCCCTGCTGAGCAAATCATATTTTCACATGGAGAAGGTTTGAATATTAATTACCACGCTTGCTCACTGCAGGTTGGCAATTTTAAACTTATAATTAGAAATTATAAACCCAGGTTTTCTCACGATGTTTTCCTTCAGCGTTTATCAGTGGTGTCTGAATAATCTTAGAAAGTACATATAACTAGAAAAAAGTCACATTGGTACTTGCCGTTGGTAGGTTTCGAAACTACACCCTCATGCATGAGAAGTGGGCGTCTTAAACCCAACCACAATATTAAATCTATACGTCTATGCTACTTTTACTAAAATAAAAACGAATTCTCTCTCATCTAATTTGCCATTTGATCTCTCGCTTATTAGAAAGAAAGAATAAAAACTTTATTTCACGCCAAAAAACAAGTGACATGTACAGATAAATCATTCTATTAGTAGGTACTGATGGATACTTGTTCATGTCCCAAGTCTGCCGTGAAATGGGACCAGTTCAGCATGTGCAAGACAGGGCCCTGCGCTGGTATTCTACTGGCTCCTTAAGTGACTCGCAGACGGTATTAGGTAGGTACACTTGTTAACATATTTTTAAGATAGATTTAGCGAATATAGGAAAGAAAATTGCAGAGAATGTCTACTCGACTTAATTGCATTTAATGACAAACTTGAATTCTGTCACCAAGGACATAATACATATTTTATAGGAGTTCTATATCACCGTCGTCAGATCTTGCACTATTGAAGTTTGGTCGCGGCTGGGTTAATTTTTCTGGAGTAATGCCAAGTGCAGTGCCATTGTGCGTGGCCACGTCACGGTCTTCATTTGTTTTAGTCCTACTATCTGTCATTGCCCTAACTGTTGGACTTTTTGGTCTGATCCCCGCTTTGAAGTGTGAGAGTGAGTCAGACAGGTCTCGTCTAGTGTTGTCACTATTTTGAGATAGCTTGATGTCATCTGTAGATGGCAATGAGCTATCCCAAAATAGTGGCGAATAATATATGGTAACTAGTACATCGTAATCATAGACTGCAGTCTACAATTGTTCTAGTGTTTTACTTATACCACTTATACCATATGTTTATTTAAAATTGTCTATAAATTACATTATTATAATAAAAAATATGAGCCGACCAGTAGCGGGATCATGATCCAAGCTGCCGGTTGTTAGGGCTCCAAAGACAGAAACCTCCTCACGATACGTGCCGTTTCTAGGAGAATTGCCTTCTGTATCAGGCTCTTGATCCACCTACCTAACGCAGGGTACTTTCTTAACCCCTGGCCGACTCGCCTATCGGCACAATGAAGTGTGATTTTTATATACGTTTTGTAGGTAATTTTAAAATGCGTTTTCTTGGCCAAAATTATTATTTTGGCCAAGAAAACGCATTGTATTAGGCATTTAAATGCCTAATACAATGTGAAAAAACTTATACAGGACTGTTGAGTTGAATTAGGTACTTGCAATAAAAGGAATGTAACGATGCATTGTTTGATCTTTCTCCGGATGCGGTATTTAGCGGTAACCAAGTTTTAATGTTTTGTTGTTGAAAACCATAGAAAAACCCCGTAAAAATATAAGTTTCAGTAACGAATGTAGCAACTTCAAGACTGAAAAGCAATTTTTGGTGCGAAAATCAGAATCGTAGGCTGAAAAGTTAAATATTTGTGAAATATCGCCTGAAATCTAGTAAGCAAATAAAATAAAATCTAAACTAGTACGTACTTACTATAATGGGCTGGTGCTGAAAATCAGCACCGTGGGCTCGAGCCTCTGTGCCCGGTCCACGGTATTAAGCTGAGCTCCAGCCTTTTGCGCTGCGACGCACCATAGGCTTTTTGTGTGTTCCTAAATTCTTGTTGTGTGTCGTAGCAAAATAAATGGCTTTTCTTTCTTTCTTAAATCATCGCTTAGATTATCAAATATAAAAAAAGAGAAATAGATACTGGTACCAGTATGCATTTAGACTGTACAGTCGTAGTAATAGATTTACCTAAAAGCAGATTTCATGAGGTGGAAACATAAAAGTGGATGCATTTAGTTTCTTTCAGAAAATGTTCCGTGGTTTCCAAGCAATTGAATAATATTGTATTTTAGTAAAATCTTTGAAGTCTTCTCTCTGAAATCCAATTTTCATGACAGTTGCAAGAATTTAGAAATAGCTGGTAACTTGATCTCAAAGATGATTTCTGTCGTGTTATAAAATGATATTAATTTGTTCCAGAAGTTTTAAAATTTATTTAGGTAGTAGGGTACTAGTGACTGCCACGTTGGCCGAGTGGTCGCAAGTGCGACTGCCGAGCTCTCGGGTTCTATTGCTGGGTGGGGCAAAGTATAACTGGGCTTTTTTAAAAAATCCCAGTAGAAGCACGGAGTGTGGAATCGTGCCCGGTATATGGCAATAGGCTCTTTTTTTAATTTTGGGGATTCTAAAGTGTTTATTGAGAAGTACTGATTTAGATGATTCCTAATTTATGTAGAGATCAATGTTCCAACAGGAAAGTCGTCTCAATATTCGCAGTACACTTGGAGAGGAAACTCCGCTAATGAGAATTAGATGTTACTAGATGCAGTCAATTAAATTGTACGTGTTTATTTGTTCAAGGAAACGCATTGACGTAGTTAACACTTGATCGGATTTATTGTTGTTCTACGTCCTATAAGATTAATTTAATATAACAAATGAAACCGTGAAATCTATTTCGTTTTTGACCCGAAGTAAAATGGTTCTGGTGAACCATTGCAAAAAGCAACTTCGAAAGTGCATACGAACTCACAGTACATTATGAAAACATCCCACCATGTAATTCTCGAAGAGATATTTCTCGTCGGCTGCCGCGTGCGATGCAAATATTAGTTACCTACAAATTTTTGTCTAGTGTTTCATGTGCGTATTTCTATGACTTTTTTAAATAAAAAAATGATATCTTTATTTGCTTGTTTTTACTTTATACATCGAAATTACTCCTTATGACATGTTACACGATTTCACGGTATATCCTCCGAAGTTAGAGTTACCCATTCGATAAAGACTCGCCAACATTGTTTCAACTTCTTTAATGCACTGAAGCTGAACGAAGAGCTGTTACTAAGTACGAATTACTCATAGATTTTAAAAGTAGAAGACTAAAAAGTCTTCAGTATATTAAGCAATCCAACTCATTTATCCAACAACCAGTATTAAAATCCTCAGAAGCTGCAAGTTCCACCCTGAGTCTAATCCGGTACTGAGCACTAAGCTAACATCGTTTCAACAGAACATTACTAACTCAATTTACCAAGGAACAGGTGATTCTCATTTCGTCGAAGATCTGCTCTATATAATTAGTTTCCCAGAATGTTTCAATGAACTTTACATTTTTGAGAATCCTCTCAAGATTTGTTACTATGTTTAAGCGAAAATGTATAGTGACGGCCCTAAATCATCCCAAATAAGATTGTTGAAGTGATAAATTGCATGTTCTTGGCATTTGGGACAAAGAGCATGATGTCACATAGTTTTAGGAAGCGTTACGTAAGCAGCGTTCGAGGAAATAAGTTGTAAATATAAAGAGAAGCTTGTGATCTTCAGGGAGGTCGATTCAACTGAATTTTTAAATGAAAATCGTTTGTGTCCATTTGCTGAATATTATTCTGGTGTTCGTTATTTTGAGGCGTGAATCTCTGTAGTTCCATTTTCGAAATTTGTGATTCTTGTTAAATTACTTATAACAAAATTTTTAATTTTGATGTTGTTGAATCATACGACGTTTGTGTGCGATTTTTATTTTTTAAACGACCAGGGATTCAATTGATTTCTTAAATTACATTTTAGAATTGTAATAACTAGCAAAATAAATAGATATTATTAACTGCTTCAAATTCAGTTACGATCACTGTGCCTGCATTTCAGGAAAAAATAAAAAGAAATTATAAATTTATACAGTAAAACACCAAGATACATAATGAAAACATCTTCATTGATATATGTTACCTTCACAACAGTTTCGGAAATAACATTGACATTGAGACGAGAGGCTCCCTGGCCATGTCCTCGCCGAGGTCAGTTCCTCGTGTTTATTATTTGTTAACCAAGTGTTTATCATCAGATTGTATATTGTATCACATCAGGCGGCAGCTGCTGTATCAGAGTCGACTTTTGATGTTCAGATTGGGAGTTTTACGCGTGGTATTTGTTTGTTTGTCTGTGTGAGGTTTATCAAGTAAATTTTTACATTTATATTAATAACTTGAATGTATTTATTTATAACATGAGGTGTAAGGTTATGTACTAAGGGCTTTTTGAGGGGGAAAAATCATCCAATGACTTCTTCCGCCCGAGTGAGGCGAGAGGGAGTGTCAAACTCTTACTGACTAAAAACTAACCCGTTCCTACTCATGCACTTCGAGTCGGAGCCCCGGTAACTCGCTAAGCTATTAAGTATGACCCATCATTCTCTGATTTTTAGTGTTATACGTAATATTCACTCTGACGAGCACCTAGTTATATTTTCGTTATTTTTAATTTATTCTATGACGAGTCAAGTGATGACAAAACTGAGGAAAATTGAGTGATTTCTGCGTAGACATGGCCTTCAGCATTGCGCATCGATTTTTCATGAAACTCTTTATTGCTTTGACACTGAAAGCAAATTAAGAAATGTAATGTTCCAGGTAATTACTAATTATAATGAAAAACTACAGTGTACATAAGTAAAGTAGGACAAGTTTGCTCATATTTTCGGCATTACTTACGACTTTTAGGATTAGATAATTCAAGTCCAAAATAAAGTCATTAAAATACGAGATGTGAGCAAAACTACAGCGAAATTAATCCCCGTGTCAGTTAAATAAGTCACAATTCAGAGCTGTGTGACGTCACCCAGAAACTAGGTTCATCGTCTACGATCTCGTTTCGTGATTAGCCATTCTCTCGGCTCTCAAACGAATAATTATTGTGATACTATTTTAGATACATTTCAAAGAAGCAGCCGACAAGCGTGTCAACACAAATACCCACGTCGCAGCGTCTAGCGGGAGCCGCGCGAGCTGCGCCTGCGACCTACGTCCTCACTCCCATTCCGGGCGAACCTTCACAAGCTGCGTATACTTTATACTCGTATAGCATCGTATCAACCGGACCAAAACCAAAATGAAAATAACACAATTTTATGTGCCATTAACTAAAAGCCAAATCAGCGTTGGCTCCACTCGGTGACAGCAACGCGACAAAATACAATACCACCAATATGTACCGCTATGTAAACAATCCGCAGCGTATCGAAATGGCCCGGCCACAATGTTGGCGTGTTTGCCAAAGGTTGGTGATGACGTCGACAGCCACCAGTTGGCACGGAACGGCCAGTTTCAGTGGCAACCGCGCGTGCGCCGGCCGGACCGCCCTACAGTTTTCCCGCCTAAGCGACCGCGAGTGACATTTGATTTTTTGAAAATCGAATCGTCGCGTATTGTTACCGTTTCGGAATACCGCAGTGATTTACTAACAACACTCAGTGTGCAAGTGATTAAAAATCGATAGCATCGATAAATCCGCATTATCTTGTGACTTGGATACAATTGATTTGTATTCGCCAGTGTCCGGTTTCTACATCCGCGGAAGATTTCGCACGGACGCCATGGTAATATATTTTACTTTAATTTGCGAATGCAGTAGAAATAAATCTAGTTGTAAATCTGTTTTACCGACCTCGACAGGTGCAAAGACCTTAAGCCTTAGTGCTTATTTATAATTTTATTGGTCTTGCGTCCAACTGGCCGATGCACACACATTTTATGCGAGCCGTCAACAAGTTGATGACATGTTAGTGTGACGTTTAGAAATCCGGAGCTTTGCTTGATTTATCTAAACAGATAAAATATTATTTTGATCATATTTTTTGTAGCGAGATCTATTCGGGAGCTAATAACTGTTGCAATATTATCGCGCGACGAAAGTTTTATGCAATGAGTAGGCCGTTTTTCATATTAAAATGTTAACTAATAACTGGGACGTCTTTATTATCTTTTATTTAGGTAAGTAATTCCTGGTCCACAGTGGACTGAGCATCTTAATTTCTTAAGTCAAAAATATTAAAAAACTCAAAGGAAATCTGATCAAGCTTTATCTAATGGAATACCTAAATTGCGTAAATTTGAATAAGGGACCTTGAGCAATTTACAAATACGGCATCAACATATCTAATATCTTATGCAAAAACTTTACCAACATTCTACCTACTTCTTATCAAACCTTTAAAATGATTTGAACTAAGAAGAAGACGATGACCATATCAATTAAAGCAATCTGTCCTGAAACCAGTTCTGTATGAGGGACCATACGAGACCAGTTTATTCAAAATTAAAATCAAAGCATTGATTTCAATTAATCCTTAATTAGGCACTATTGAAACGTTAAAAATTGAACTGTCCGTCCGTCTGTCTATCTGTGAAGCTAGGCACTCGTTCCAAAGTGTAGTTTCGAATGGAGAAGAATGAGCAAGAAACTCCATGTTTTTATAATAACTATCGTGAGACATACTAAATTAACTAAACGTGAGCTGCTCGACATCGCCGCGACCGCGCACGCTGCTCATGAGGAAGAACCCCTCTGTGGTTCGAAACTAGTAGAGCTTTTCTCAGTAGATTCACGTGAGTAACCCGCGATTTTTAGTTAATAAAGAAACTCCATCGTTACTCTTTAAAAATGTGTTTTTTACAGTCTCATTGATACATTATCTGATCTTTTACCTATTATACTTCACATTGAACTTTGCATACAATCATACAGAAACAAATGTCCGTGAGATAACTCCCACTATACATTTTCTCCTTTCCTCGTAAATAGGGTTTAAGTTTTCATTGTTATGTTAATGGTTAGGCTTGTGGCGACGCATGCCACATGTCAACGGATGACGTCACAAGAATCCTACATCACACATGCAAAGTTTACAAGCGAATAAACACGGATAGAAAATCCCAACGAACAACTGTTGGGCAGAAAGCCCGCCAGGCACGATCACCTCGCCTGGTCGGAGGATCCTCCTTTTCCGATCATAGGGAACTATACTCTCTGTTCCCTAAAGTGGTGACCCCGACGTGATTGGAAACAACCTTCACTTCACGGAGCAGATTAGCACCGTCATCCGTATCGCCATCCCTCTCATTCATCACTTCTCCGCTGAGCGGTAATCAAGTCGCAGCCAACCAGCATCCTCGGCCTCATCAGGGACCACCATTACCTGCAACGAAGTTGTGCAGCCTGGTTCTTCCCTACGGCCTCACCAGCGTCTAGGCACAGCACTTCTGCACACGGTCTGAAGGACACCTCATCCCGTCAACGCAGATGCCGGCCACTACGCACCTACCCTCGCAGCATCTCTTCCCCGACTCACCGTGGGACACTGCGAACTCATCTCTCCGACTCACTGGAGTTTCACCCTGCACCGCTGACCCGACTCACTGGGCACTCAGCGGCACGGTTCCGACCCACTGGAACTAGGGACGTTCTACACTGGCTCTGGCGCCACTCATCTCAAGCATCGACAGCCGTCTCAGCGGGATCGACCTCCGGTCTTGGGAGGGAGTGATGTGGCGACGCATGCCACATGTCAACGGATGACGTCACAAGAATCCTACATCACACATGCAAAGTTTACAAGCGAATAAACACGGATAGAAAATCCCAACGAACAACTGTTGGGCAGAAAGCCCGCCAGGCACGATCACCTCGCCTGGTCGGAGGATCCTCCTTTTCCGATCATAGGGAACTATACTCTCTGTTCCCTAAAGGCTCTTCAAACAAGGGTGACATTATCAATTGTAATAAAACCCTCCATCAATAATAATAAAGGAAAAAACCGGGTTACCGGGGCTCCGGTTCGATCTGCAGGAGTAAGAACGGGGCGGTTTTAAGTCAATAAGTCTGACACTCCCTCCCGCCTCATTCGGAAGGGAGAAGTCATTGGATGATTTTCTCCTTTCAGAAAAAAAGAGTAGTTATGATGCTCATGAGTCATAATCATAACGGATGATGGATGAATCTTCAGTCAAGATGGAACAAAAAATCTTGCTTTCGGCAATAAAACAAATAGAAAATTGTATTAAACTGCAATTAGTCATTACAAAGTAATTAGCATTGCTAGTGTCTGAAAAAGATGTCTCAAGACTTTAGAAGACCAGTATTTCATTTACCTACAGAAACTCCTCACAACTAATGTCAGAAATAGATCTTTATCCACAAATTTTGGATTGAGATAGCTTTTAATTTAAGTCGCTCTAGGCATATTTTACAAAACAATAGAAAAATTCTTTACATTGTAAGTAACATAACATCACGCCTTTTATCGTGCACATTACGGCGCTTAATACCACTGAACAATGTAACACCCACTTTCCACTACTTATGTTATGAGTCCTATGTAATAGGGAGTACGCCTATTGTCATATACTGCAGACTATTCCAGACTCCGTGCTACTATTGAGAATTCTTTTAAAAACCTAGTAATACTTTGCCCGACCTGGAAATCGAACCTGCGACCACTCGGCCAATGCGGCATTCCTCATTTTAAGTACTTAGAAAATATATCTGTTAAATTGAAGAAAGGTGTTAAAAAGGGGCTTTACTATCAATCACATCGTATCCTTTAACATAAGTTAAAACAAGATAGATCAAAACCAAACCAAGTCTCTACAATGAAGGTGTAACCCAGACACGTGGTAAGCGAGTTCTTTGTACAAATCCACAATACTTTTACAAACTGAACTTCAAACGGGAACATTACAGTGCCAACCAATAATTTATTACTTCGTATCTCTTTAAAACGAGTGATTTATATCGTGAGTAAGTATTTTATTACCCATTTAATCCCTTAAACTATTCAATCGATATTTAAATCGGTAACGAATCATTTAAATCGGTGTTCAAATAAAATATTATCGATTCGTGTTTTGATCGATTGGGCGGCGCGGTAAGAATATGTTTATTGGTCTTGTTTATGTAGTTTTAAATAATGAATTAGTGATTTACCGTCAACAAGGATCGTAGATTTTTGAATAATTGGTGAATGCAACTTAACTTTTTATACCTTTTTTACATTTGCTCTTAATATACCTCTAGTATATCGTAATTATTGATTTATGTGGTTTTTAGAGTGTAAATTGTGCCCAGATCAGCCTTTTTTAAAGTCAAAGTCAAAGCATTTATTTTAATGAAACCATAATTTGGTACTTTTGAAACGTCAACAAATACAAAATAAATAATAGCCTGTCAATCAGTCCGTCAGTGAAGCTAGGTGCTAATTCCAAAATGTAGATTCGAATGGAGAAGAACGAGCAAGAAACTCCATTCGTTACTCTTTTAAAAAAAGTATGTTCTACAATGTCTCTGATACATATTCCTAGTTCAACATATTAGGCGTGAAAATGCCATTTTAGTTTTCGCATTTAAAATATTGATCACTGATAAATCTGTCTAAGTTTAAGTAGCTTTTCTAACGGAGAAACGTGAATCTTGATTTCAAAATTTTTCAATAACATAAAATATTAATTCGTTGTGTTGTAGATCTATAAATCAGATTCGAAAGGTATTGTGTAATTTTCTTAAACTTTGATATTTTCTGTTTATTGAATATCTGTGCGTACATGAGCCAATACAAAAAATAGCAAATGAAGTTATTATAAATTACGTCCATTATAGAGTGAGACAGCACTACGTCTGTCTCGCTCGCTTCTTCGTCATCTGTCATTGATTATCTAAAAATAAGATGCGCTGGAGTGCGCGAATTCTAGAATTTTTTGATACATTCGAATTGATGGACACAAGGCGTAGCTGAATAATGCTGATTGAATGGATCACTGGAGATTTACTTCGTAAGAGAATGATTTTAAACAGATACATTAGAGACTAATTTTAATTTGTGTTTTTGGTTTAAAATAAGGAATGTGACTCCGATTATGTGTCGATCGACCGTTTTCCATTTATATTGAAGTGATTTTAAATGGCGTGTTATTGCTATCATTAAATCGATTATGTGGCTATCAAACTTAATATAGGCAGACAATACAGTGGGTAATAACAATAAATAATGTTTGTTTACCAAAATGTTCGGTCGATTATTACATTAATATTCAGCGATGTTCATATTATTTGCAATGTATGTACATAACAATGAAGATGGTGGGTAACTATTCGTACCAATAAATGGCTGGATAGGTTTTAAAGTTTGTGTCGTTGAATTTGTCTCTAATTGTTAGTAGATGCATATTTTATTTAATGAAAACTAGCTGACCTGACAAATTTTGTACTGCCTAAAATTTTTCTAACCATTAAAACCTTCCTTGGACTTATACGAGCATTTAGAGACCAAAATGAGCCAAATCGGTTCAGCCGTTCTCGAGTTTTAGCGAGACTAATGAATGGAAATTCGTTTTTATTTATATAGATAGATAACGACAATTTAACTACAAATACCCATAATTTTTCTTTATAAAAAAATCTAAAATGAGAAATACTTATAACGTACTAGGACCAGTTGTTACAAAAAATTGTCTAAGTACCAATAGTGAGCACTCCTGAAAGCGTGTAAAGATGACTTGCACTTTTGTTTATACACGTCTCCCGAAGGTACTATAATATCTGTGTTTGCAGATAAAGTTTTAGTAGAAAAACTCTTCTACTACAATAATTATTTTATTTTATTTGATTTGAGAAACAGGAAACAAACAGGTTATCTTATACTATTATATAAAGCGGAAGAGTTTGTTTTTTTGTTTGAACGCGCTAATCTCCGTAACTACAAGTCTGATTTGAATAATTATTTTTGTTTTGGATAGCGCATTTATCGAGGATGGCTATAGGCTATAAAACATCACGCTACGACCAATAGGAGCTGAGCAGAGCGTGTGAAACCGCGCAGAAGTAACTAGCATTACCTATATAATCATCTTTATACTCTTCTTACTGTGTTAGTTACTGAACGCCGCTACAATGTATACACCATTGTATCCTCTACCTCGAATCCCTTCGTTTCTCACACAATTGAGACATCTCTAGTTAGATTGCCTTATTCTATTCCATTCATAACATAACATCACTCCTTTTATCTCCGAAGGGGTAGGCAGAAGAGCCCATTATGGCACTTAATGCCACTGTACAATGTAACACCTACTTTTCACTATTTACCTCTATATTATGAGTCACATGTAATAGGGGGTGAGCCTATTGCCATATACCGGGCACAATTCCAGGCTCCGTGCTACTAATGAGAATTCTTTCAAAACCCAGTTATACGAGTTATTGAGTACCTAGTAATTGTGTAATTAATTTTGTATGTCATATATGTATAGCATTTATATCGATTTTAACGTATTAGTTTATATTATTCGATATGGGCCTATGAATCTTGATATAAATGAATTAATAAAAAAAGACTGCCTCGTTGGCCGAGTGGCCGCAAGTGCGACTGTCGGGCAAGGGGTCTCGGGTTCGATTCCCGGGTCGGGCAAAGTATTACTGGGGTTTTTAAAAAAAATTCTCAGTAGTAGCACGGAGTCTGGAATTATGCCCGGTATATGGCAATAGGCTCACCCCCTATTACATGGGACTCATAACATAAATAGTGAAAAGTGGGTGTCACATTGTACAGTGGCATAATGTGCACCTCTGCCTACCCCTTCGGGGATAAAAGGCGTGATGTTATGTTATGTTATGTAATAAAAAAAGAAATGCTTTCGAATCGAACCCGTGATCCCTTGCCCGGCAGTCGCACTTGCGACCACTCGTCCAAGAAGGCAGTCCATTTCATTAATTCGGCCATATCTAAATTCAGCAGTCTATCTTATCTATCCTGTATTTGATATATAATTCTATCAAACAATTTACATGATTATTTTAAAACTGAAGTTTTCAACTCCTTGCAACAGGTTTTGACTTAACCAAGTAACCGGTGCGGTACAATTCGTGTTCTATGACAATCAAACCGATCTGTAAATCAAATAATTTAATATAGTAGCCTGTATGTGGGTTACACAAACGCATCGATACCACCGCCATCTGGTTTGCCGCTCCGACACCCTTTGATCTCTGCATCGACGCGATTCAAACATTTTACGACCGAATCGAGAATCGATATAATATCGATATGTTATGTGCAACACTATTTGTTGAGCTACTCTCTACTCGTAATAGTGTTTACAATCGGTTTTACCGTTTTGTTGATTATTATGTTCCAGAGATTGATTATAATCTTTATTTTGTTTGATGTTTCGAAGATTAATTTTATTTTGCTACTTGAGATAAATATGACTACGATGTTTATGGCAGAAACTGCTAATTCTTACAAAATAAATTTTACATTGCATCTTCATTTTTTTTCTGAAAATCGTATGCAAATCTGTTCAATACTTTTTGAGGTAATCGCTTTGTAACAATTTGATATGATGTGACAATTTGATAAAATAAGAGCTGACCTAGATAAAATGTGTAGGCATCAATCTATTTGGTAAACATACTTATAATCTTATACGATTATTAGCTCACCTGTTACATTATTTTGGCTAGCTTCCGTTTACGTCAGAAGTCAATAAAATA